TTCCTGGACTCACTAGACTATGACGTAGATCTGCCTAAGGGGCCAGATCACCACACAAGGCATATTTAGACTGAAGGTGTGCGGTCCACTACCTATGTCCAAACATGACATCATGTTAAGTACGTTGAGAGGATTTGACTTCTCAATCCCCCACTCATGGTTTGGATCGCTGCTTCTACCAAAGATCAAGATCAAAATACAAGCAAGCAGACTGTTGAATTGAATATAGCAATTCCCCTGAATTTACTGCACTGCGAGTTCCAACCTTGGTAAGATATTTGTATAGAGTGTTGTATGCGAAGACAGTCCTCAGACATGTGCTGCTTCTTATAATACAATACTGGGACAGATCACGAGATCATAATAAAAGCCTAGCACTCATTTAAAAGATTTTGTAAGATACACTATTCATAACATGTCTCAGCATCTACAGAATAAAAGCAAGTAGGGCTCTTTAAATAAGTTTCAGAAAATCCTTGAAATTTACATAGTTCACCAATGCAAAGGTTTTATTCTCAACAAAACTGACATTTAACATTGATGTATTTTAGAATTTCAGAATTTAGGATGATCTTTGACTTTCCCTTTTATCAAAAATTGACGTATGTCAAGTAAAATGTTTTATTAACTGGTGCAGAATGCAAGGGCTTCAAAATGTCATTATTTTAGGCATATATTGCAATTACTAGATGATCGTTTTAACACTGTGTCAAGCCAATCCTGTACTATACAACAATGGAGACTGGGAACAGATATGAAGGTGTATGTTATACATAGAACACTGAAAATAATATAATTTCCCTTGTAAAACGTGAACATAAAGGTCACAGAAGACATTCACAACCATATGAAGGCACAAGATGACAAGATTATTTTTTTCCTACAGTTCATAGAAGGGTGAACCCTCTAAAAATATTATGTTGCTTATCATATTTTAAAAAGGAACTAATACAAGTTTGAATTTGCAGACAATCTAAGGAACCAGAAAATAAATGAGTACTATAGTTATAATGATAACCAAGCAAAAGCAGAGTGGGTTCATATTCTCCATTATAATATAAACTTTGTGGGCACCATCCCTCCATCAAATCAAATCTACAAAACCTTTCACCCCAAATATGGTGGAGGAGAAATGGGACTCTAATGTGCCACACAAACAAAATAAAAAATATACATAAAAGCATACAAGCTTTATTTTACAAATAAGAGTAAAAAGACAAAGTCCTTTATATATTCATAAAATATGGCCATCTAGATCCCAATAAAAACCTGAAATGTCAATATTCAGTATCTGCGATTGTCCATTAATAGCGTGCATGATCAAAACATTTCGAGATTGCTTCTTCAGGATCCACACCTATTCCTTATATGTCAGAAAATCATTCTACTATTCAAACAATCATAAAAAGAGTATTGCCATCAAAAGACAGCAAATGGACAAGAGACGTGAAAATATCCTAATCTTTCACATAGTGTAAGTGTAAAGGAATAGAGGACATTTTGTCACATCTAGTCACATGTTCCAGTTGATGAGCCCAACAACTCTGCAGGTAGATCTAATAGGTCCCTCCCCTCCAATAAATGAAAATATGCAGTAGGCAATCCACCACTTCCACCATATACAAACACTACACCATCAATCAAGACTATGTGGCTCAAAAATGGCACCCCACCAGCCCTCTTTCCCTAATGATGTTGTTCATTGACAAAAAGTGTTGGGCAGGGCTTGGTCTTTGACATCATTACTCCCACCAGTGGATGTGGATGCTCCTGTTGTAAATGCTGGTCACTATACACCTTATGTGAGTGGCTTTTTTAAATAAATGTGATAGTGGTTTTAAATACTACAATATGGGATTTGTTCTTTTGTTCTCCCTAAGGCAATCAGGCACTACTGATCTGTTATAAAATTGAAATTCTATACATCCGGTAAGGAGTTTGAGCACTATTGTACACTCTGAATGGACTTTTGGCTAAGATCAAGTGCAGTATCTGTTCTTATCAGTGTCCAGTGGGGGTGCTCCCGACCATTCTAGCTTTGCGGGGATGGTTGTTGTATAGTACCCTCACTGGTATGATGGGGGTCCGGAAGGCTGAACCGGAGGGACAGAAACCAGGGAGCGCCATGATGAGCTCTGGGGCCTTGGGAGTAATTCCTCTGGTGAAGCTGGAAAGACCCAGTACCTCCTGATTCGGACGGATCTACCTTGGTCTGGCCTGGGGCTGGGGACGCAAAAAGTCCGCAAACTCAGTGCCCCCTGGGGAAGACGCTCTCAGGGGTGTCACTAGTAACACTTGGGTGTGGGACCCCATGGTGTGAAAATGACACATGGCCACTGTTTTTCACTTCTTTTTGCACAGCGCCCTAAGGACCAGGTCTTTTGGCTAAGTCCGGGGCAATTTTTGCTACAGGCCTCAGGGCCTGGTCTGTGCACTATTTGGCACGGTACCACTTTTTTATTTTCTATTTATTTATTTAATCACTCCCACATCTTGTCACTTTTTCTGTTCTTATGTGTGTGTTTTTCACGGATGGAGGGTGTGGGTCCTCGGGCCTTACCTGAAGTCTAGGGGGAGGATGTGTGGCCCTACGGTTCCTTCCTCCCCTGATCCCTAGGGGGTTTTCTCTTCAGGAGAACCCCCTTGCCTAGTACTGGATGTCCGGCTTCGGCTGGGCATAAGGAACGGTGGTCCACCAGGCCTTTTGGCCAGGAGGACCAAATGGGAACCTTGTCCCTGTCAGGAGCTTCGTGCCCTGGGGGATCGGGTGAACGGTCCAACCCTTCCGGGGGTAGGACAAACACACCCCTAAGTGCACTTTTTCGTGTGGTGTTTTGCACTTGCACATTTTTTGTGAACACTTACGGGTTTTTTCGTTATAGTTGCACGTTTGCGGACTTAAAAAAAAAAAACCTGTGTGTAGTGCAGTTTTGGACACATCACCATTGATACAGGAATGAGCAAGTTTTGATTTCTTTCAAGAATTCTTCATGTACTCAGATTGAGACTTGCATCAAGTTGTTTTGCACTGAACTTTTATTATATATATTGCCTTTATTTCCTTTTTGAAAATTACATTTTTTGTATTGTGTAACATTATTATCACTATGCTGAATTTATGTAGTAGCTGGGATGTATCTTTTTTCTTTGAAATTGTATATAAAGGAATAGCGAACCCATTTTTGTTTAAATATTCATGATCCTATGTTCCCATGATTAGTGTGCTGTTTTTCCATTTGTTGATACATTGAGCGTAGAAATTTCTTTTTTGTTTTCCTAAATACATTTTCCTGATTATATGTGCTCTCTTTTCTTCTGAGAATGAAATGGAAATACCTGGTGATCTCACTCCTGGTAACCACATTCTGCAGCTTGATCTTCCCTCTGAACCGTATTACAACCATACATTTAGCAGTTTGCGGGGAATACCACTTTAAATACTAACATTAATACCTTAGGAGCCATATATGGGCTGTTTCTGTATTTTACACAAACTACACAATAAGAGGAACCAAAGCAGGAACATAATCATGAGGGTTTGAAAAAACACACACCGCAAAACATCTTCATTTGGGTAAACATATCTTAGGCCTTGTTCACACCTATGCGGTTTTGGTGTTTTTTTGCTGAAAGGCACTTCAGTCCACTTAATATGGTTTCCTATGGGACACATCTATGCTTTTTTTAGCTGCTACTTTTTGGAAAGGGTCAGGGACTTTTTGTAAACGCAAAACAGTGCATTTTTGATTCAATAGAATGTAACGGAGACACTGCAGAAAAGCATGTAGTAAGTTTTGTTTTTTTTATACACGTTTTTGTTGCATTTTAATCTTCCCAAAAACAAATAGGCAAAAAAAAAAAGAATAAAAATGCAAAACACATAAAAAAAAACACTTGAAAAATGCATTGAAAAGGAGTCTGCAAAATGCACTACAAAAAAACAGATCAAAACAGACTGTATAGGTGTCAACCAAGCCTAAGAACCTCTGTTTAAAGCCCAACTCCATGGAAATAAAAAAAAAAAATCCACCCTTGCACTGGGGCCTTCCACGTTGCAAGGGTTAAATGCTTTTTAGGGCTTACTGTACAAGCAGCTTTACTTACTTGTTTGCACGCTCATGTTGGCCCCAGCATTCTACTCCTCCACTTGAAGCTCCAGTCTATGGGTGGAACCTCGGCAGCAATACAGGGACAATAACCCTATAATGTATGTTTATGAGTCTGGAATGTGATCAGCTACAATTACAGATTACAGGGCAGCTGAGTGGGATCAGTTTCCTAACTGGGGGGAGCCTGCTGGAGAAAGGTAAGTATGTTCTCCTCAATCCTCTGCCCCTAGATTAAACAAGCAGTTAACCCTTGCAGTACAGGGGTGGATTTTTTCATTTTCATGGAGTTAGGCTTTAAGAAGGCATATGAGATATGTTCTGAACAGAACACAGACAGTATTTTCTGCTATGGTTTACATACCTAACAAAATTTCCTGACCACTACTGATGCTGGATCCCCGCATAGCCACATGCCCTACAGCAGTGGCATTCTGGCTTTCCTTTTGTACCTTAGTGATAGTAACAGCTATTAAAATGTAACATGACAAATTATTTTGGCCTGGAACAGTACTTGTAACAGGTGCTATTACAAGAGGTAATAGAATAATAATTTGTAACACAGCAGGCAGATTTGCAAAACATGAGAAAGAATACTTTTCAATATATTTCACAAAAAACCATGACTTGCGTCCACTGTAACAATGATAGGTCATCTAAACTGCTAGCAAATATAGCCTTATCAGTTATACAGAAACAGCTTACACCCCAAAATAAATCTAAAACAGTGCAAATCCATGGACCAGGCCATAAACTTAAAGTGTATCTAAACACAAACACCTAAAGTGTTACTAAACACGCAACAGTAAAATCAGTCTGTATATGCAGTAAAGCATGCTTCTTATACACACTGTGGAGCCTAAGGGGTTAATCATCTGCATTGTTTAAAAAGGCTTTTTGATCCTGACTTCTATGCCCCTCCTCTTGTTCAAATGTCCCCACTGATAAGAAAGACTGAACCCGTAGCCCTTCTGCACAAGCTCAGTTTGGTGTGTATTGTAGAGAGGTGTTTTTTTTTCTTGGGAGAGTGCATGTGATCAGCACAGGGCGAATCAGCGCTCTCCAGACAGAGGTTAGGGGTTCTCCATCCTCCTAGAGCAGAAAGAAAACTCCTCCTACAAGCTTTACCCACTGCTCAGCTGAAGTCACAAGACTGCTCTAACTGCTGATGAGAAAAGGTATTTAGCAGTTTATATTTACTAAAATAGTTCTCTGTACTCTGTTCTCTGTACTGTGGGAGATCAGATATAGTGAATGCAGGGTTCTGGGTTTAGTAACACTTTAACCCAAATATGGTGTTGTAAATATTCCTGTAATGGCAAAAATGGAATCCTTTTTTTTAGTTTGCTTTGCTTTTAATGAAATCATACCAGTAAGGGCTCGTTCACACTTGGCTGTTTTACCAACGCTTGCCAAATGCCCTTATAGCATTTGGCAAGCGTTGGTCCGGCGTTTGCGGAGCGTTTTTTAACGCTCTGCAAATACTCCGCAAACACCGCATGCGCGGTTTAGCGGAGGTTGCTAGGCGTTTGCCGAGCGTTAAAAATGCCCCACAAATGCCTATAATGCAGTTTGAATGGTGTTACCGCTCCGCTCCGCCAACTCCCCGCAACCGCGTCACACGCCGGCCGGGCGTTTGCGGAGCGGCACCATAGACTAGAATAGGAGGCTTCAATGCTGCAGTGTTTTCACCCTTTTCTGGTTTCTCCTGAGGTGGGCTACAAGCAGCTGCACCAAGGCATACTGCATTAGCATATAATACAGTAGTCACCACAATAAAATCATGTTTGACCATTGTTTGAGGGGACTGACATCCACAGTAGGATCTTTCAAGAGTTTACACAGCATGCACAGTACAAGGAGAGAGAATATCATCAATGTAGATTTAGTGCCCTGCTGTAGTCAGGCTACATTTAGTTTTTGGCTCTGCTGTACTTGATGAAGTAGCAATCTGTTATTCAGGTCTGGCCAGGTTTTCCCAAGCTTGGTGGTGGACAGTTCTTGTATGTCTCTGGAAGAAGCTTCCAGAGATAGAGTGGGAGCGTCAGCCACTGAGGTTATGAATTGTTAACTGACCGCAACCAATCCCTGGGAGGGGGTACCCAGATAGTAGCTGGGGAGAAGATAAATGTTTGGGAAGCCTGTTCAACAGTGTCTTCCTCCTGGGATTGCTTGTGGGTATGTGCAGAGTGGTGCGGAGGTAGTGAACACAGAGAATCCAGTTGCAGTAAAACTTGAAATTGTATTGAGCAGAATGCCAACGTACAGACACGCTAAGAGCATCACTTAGGGAAACAACTCACAGTTCAATGTAGTCAAAGAGGTGCCAACAGTGTCTGTTTCAGAGGTTGAAGTGCGGTCTGTCCGGTCCAGTCCTACATAGGGACGCTCCTTTGCAGGTACTGAGTCCTTAGCCTGTCCCATCTCATCAGGAACCTTTTCCTTCTGCTAATGGCTTTCCCTGACCAGCACAGTCTCTCACTACACTAGACACTCGCCAAATGCGTGCCAAAACCATGAGGCAGGGACTTATTTACACACTGTTGATCCAAGATGGCTGCCAAGGGTCATGTGGCTGCAGCATGAACAACAGAACACTGCTCCATTGACCCAGGAAACCATGGAGGGTGTTTCCCCTTGGCTTCCTCTTCAGGCCAGGGGCGGACTGACCATTTGGAAACTTGGGCACTGCCCGAGGGCCCGGGGTCAGTAGGGGGCCCCATGAGATGCCCCTGGTACCTTTTTCATAGGCTTTTTTGAGTTTGGGCAAGGACACAGGGGTCCCATGATCCCCTATTGCCCGGGGGCCCCATAAGTTGTCAGTCCGCCCCTGCTTCAGGCTGTGATACCATTCAGATCGAGCACCACCTAAAGTGGAACAAATAGACTGCACCTCCCTACATACTGCCCCTGGGATGCAGCCTGTGTATTGAGGGGCTGATGATACCTCAACATGTGGTTGGCAGAGGGTCTAAAGGAATATAGATTGAATGATATTTACTAGATGACATCACCTGTTGAAAAGGACCTAAAATGGGGATCCTGTTATCAAAGAACATTGTTACATGGTGGCCAGTGACAGCTGCCCTCAGATAGTTGTTGCAAGGATTGGGATTGCTCATAAAAAGTCTCATAAAAAATGGCTATCCCCTTCTACCTCCAACATAGGATGTTGTTAGAGGATTTATGTTTAACCACTTGCCCTCCTGAGGATTTACCCCCCTTCCTGACCAGGCCATTTTTTGCGTTAAGGCGCTGCATTACTTTAACTGACAATTGCGCAGTCATGCAACACTGCACCCAAATGAAATTTATGTCCTATTTTTCCCACGAATTTAGCTTTCTTTCAGTGGTATTTGATTGCTAGATTGTAAGCTCCAAGGAGCGGGGGCCCTCTTGTATTGAACTGTATTGTCTCCCTTTATATTGTAAACTGTTGGCGTATATAAATCCTGTATAATAATAATAATAATAAGCGATGTACCTGTATGTTGCTTAGCACATGCGCACTAGCATGCCACCTGGAGCACACAGTGCTCCGCTCCCACAATCATTTGTGGCTCCTGTTACTTGGGTGCTTTGATTGTCTAGGGGATCATGTCATCACTATGCAATGACATGATCACAATGTCAACAAAGGGACTGCGAGGGGCATTCTGACACTGGGGGGAATTGACTTGGTGTCAGTAACATCCCCAGTGACACCAACACAGTGATAAGTGCTAAAAAAAACAGTGAAACTGTACTAATGGCACTGGGCAGGAAGGGGTTAACATAAGGGGTGATCAAAGGGTTATCTGTGTGCTGGGTGTGTTTTACTATGGGGCCGTGCGTTTGTGCTTCACTGTAATCACACTGCTTTTGCAGTGTGCACGAGCTGACAGCGAGGATAACTGTTTTGTTTATAAAGAATTCTCCTCCCCATCGAAGATGCTCGGCAATCACCAGACGCCAGCGAGTAATCACCGGCTGGAACCTGGTGACTGACAGCCGCGGCTGCGAATGGCGGCGCTGGTAGGGCACACGCCTACTTATATACATGATTTTGCACAACTGTGCCACCCTGTAGCAGTATATCTGCTAGAGGGCGGTTGGGAAGCGGTTAAGAGACTGTTCTCCTGTTTTTGTTTGGCATTTTGGAGTATCCTGCATCCTCATCCCTCTCTCTTGTTGACTGCTGCAATAAATCCACAAAAGGACAACCTCTAGATTGAGACTGTGTGTGCCATTGTGCAGAACCAGTGTTGGGCCTAACAGCCTTTGAACCAGTGTGGGAGATCTGGGTCATGTTCGGGGGGTGAGCACTACATAAGGGGATTTAAAATTGTAATTAAAATTGTAATCCTAATTTTTTTAATACTCCAGTAAGCAATCTTTTGTTAGAATTTAATTATACTTTAGGCATGACATAAGATAATCTAGCTATAGGGTATTCCTGCCTTGTAAATATCATAGTATGTGCTGTACATATCCTGTAAAGATCCAAGTTATTAATGGGGAACAGAGTTAGGGCTCATGTATACTGCAGCTCATAAACTCATGTTTAGGAGCTGTTCAGCGGTTTTTTTTCAGCAGCCCCTGAACTCACCCTAATGTTTTCCTATGTGTCCATGTACACATCTTCGTTTACAGGCAGTTGAGTTTACAGCCGTTTTTTTTTTAAAACAGAAAACTTGCGTTCAGCAGCAGATTTTATCAGCATTTCAAATGCAAAATGCTTGTAAACGTGTGTAAACGTGTGTAGGCATTTGCATTTGAAAATTTTTTTTAACTCTTCCATTTCTAGATGATGTTCAGAGCCTTTTTTCATCATGAAAAATGCATAAAAAGTGTTTTCCCGTTACTCAAATGGACCTGGCACACCATACTTTGGGGTTTTGCATGAAAAAAAATATGTTAGACATTGCTGCTATGATTTCTGCACAGAAATGAGCTGGAAAACATCCAAACACCACAAAAAAAAAGACAGCTAATATCAACAAATACTGCTCTCTCTGCTTCTGCTCTCTCTATTTCTCTCAAAATGTCTGAAATAGTTAATTTTTTAATGTTTTTCAGTGCTTTCTTGGCAAACGCTCATAAACGCACATAAAAGCGGTATGCAAACGCAGCTGAACAGATGTTTTTTAATTTATGTTTTCCAGCAGTCAGTTTCCATCGTTCAGAACTGTCCCGTGTACATGGAGCCTTACCTGGATAAATCACTTTGCCCTTTAAAATCTCCAAGCTGATCATGGGGCTGTTGAAACTCCAGGACCACACCTACTTGAAATTCTACTTTTCCAGGCAGCTGTCCGATTTTACACACTGCTCCAGTGCCAACTTTGCCACAGGGTAAAATAACCTTTACTCTGCTTCCAATTTTCAAATCCATTGGAGAATGAGGAACAAACACACGGAAACATCTATGACTCTTCATCCTGTTAATATTGATTTAGAAGTTTTAGTGCTTTGTCAGTTTTATTAATACCAATGCATCTAGCTTGAATATCATTTTCCAGATTAAAGTCATAAATGTGAAGCTTGCAACTAAAAAAAAAACATATAGTGGTATTCATAAAGTATTCATACCCCCTTCACATTTTTCAATTATTTTGTGATGCAGCCTGATACTACAGTTTTTTTAATTATTTTTTTTTTCTCATTAATCTACACCCAGTACCCCATAATGATGAATTGAAAGCAGAATTTTAGCAATGCTTGCAAATGTATGAAAAAGGGAAACTGAAATATCCAAGGGGGATTTCTTGTGTTTTGCACTGAGGAGAGTCTTTCGTCTAGCCACTCTGCCATAAAGCCCAGATTGATGGAGGGCTGCAGTAATGAAACTTTGTCCCATCCCCACACAGGATCTCTGGAGCTCAGTCAGAGTGACCATCGGGTTTTTGGTCACCTCTCTTACTAAGGCCCTTCTCCCCTTATTGCTCAGTTTGGCCAGGGGACCAGGTGTTGGAAGAGACTTGGTAGTACCAAACGTCTTCCATTTGAAAATTGTGGATGCCACTGTGCTCTTGGGAACCTCCAGTGAAGCAGAATTTTTTGTAGCCTTCCCCAGATCTTTGCCTTGCAATAATCCTATCTTTGACCTCATGGCATTTGTTCTGATACACGTTTGTTTACATTGGATACGCAAACATGCAGCCCCTCAGTGCCAAGGCCCAGCTGCAGAGAGGCTGCATATTTGTGTACGCTCGGCACCAAGG